TCATCATTATTATTATATTATTATTATAATGAGAATGCTACTTAGGTCATTTTTATTTGAACACCAAAGGGGAGCAATTGTACAATGCTTGCAAGGGTTATTAATTGGACTTTCGTTCTTTAAGCGGATGATGAACTTTGCATTTACCAATGTTTATGATAATACAGATGTGGTTCTCAGTACTAATGGATTCATTTTGAGAATTTAATTTGCGACATTGTAATTTCCTGTGGATATTTTATTTTTAATTTTCCTGCTGAACCTAGGTTCTTTGAATGGATCCATTATGTGTGACATGAAGCACATTTGTAGAAGGTATGTGATGGGAATGATCTCTGGGCTGAACTTGTCTGCTTTGTGGTGTCTGGAGCCCAACATGTGTGGTCTCTGCTTCTACTCGGCATTAACTTTGGTCTTGTTGCTTCTGTTCTTGTAACTTTATGCACCACTTCTTCATATTCAAAACACCCAGAGACCCTATCGTGGACCTCTGGGGCACATGTGACTGTTGTTTCGTCATTACACGCTGACTTGAAATGGGACGGGATTGGTCGAAACTCATACGTCACTGGTGTTTTGGGATCCAATCCAAACCCTTGACAGTTTGCAAGGGAATGTGAAAAAAAAAATCACTGCCACTCAACCTTCCAACCAATCAACCAACCTTCCTGCACCCACCCACCTAGTCAACCAACCAATCCACCACTACCACTACCACCATCACCACCACCACCACCCACGAGGCTGCTGCTGGCATGCTTGGACGGCGGACCACAGGGTACGGGCACCACTGGTCGGCGGGAGCACCTGTTGTCCTGGTACTGCTGGTGGTACTACTGCTGCTGCTGCTGCTGCTGTTGCTGCTCTGCTACTGGTGACCTGGTGACCGTCTCACAACTGTCGGGTGGGTCCAGAGACTGGACACTAATGGTGGGCATTAAACTGGCATGTGGGTCACTCACCTCACCACCAGGCTTGGCTAACCTCACCTCAGGGCTTCACAAGGCTGCCTGAGGCTGCCGCAGTCTGGATGGCCCAGTGGGGGCGGCAGCAACTGCCACGGCTTACACCGGGCATGCACAACTGGGCATGGGCTGACTGACACTGCTGCTGCTGGGCTGTTGACAGGGCTGCTGCTGCTACTGCTGCTGTTGCTGCCACCTTCAGGGCACATGGCACCACCAGCTTGTTGGAGGCACTTACATGCTGCTTAAGGCTAACATGAACATCTTGGCACTACCCCTCCCCTGCTGACTAGCAAGATGAGGTGGTGCAGGGAATAAGTAATGGTCAGCTCTCCACCACAGGCCCTGACTGGACCCTGCAGCAGCTCAGCCCTTGGTGGGCTTCGGTGCTACCGGCCCTCACACGACATCACCCTCATCATCGCCCGCCTGGTCTGCATCCACCAGCTCTTCACCCGTCCATGGCACACCTGCCCTCTATCCGCTCAGCCCTATCCAGTGGCAGAGGTGCATCTAGTGGAGGCACTGGTGGAGGTGGCACTGGGCGACCACAGGCTGCTGCGTCTCCAGGGAATGGAAGTGAAGGAGGGGGGAGAACAGCAGGCAACAGCAGCCCCCGACCTCCTCTCCAGCTTCCACTGGACCAGATGTCACTAGTTGCAGCCTTAGGGAAAGAAGTGTCGCCACAGATGGTTCAGGCATTACAGGCTGTTGCTGCTCGCCGAGAAAGCTTCTCCTCAGCAGCCAAGATGTATGCTGTCTCCGTGACAACACTTTGGCGCTATTCCAAGAAGCTAGGATTATGTGAACCCTCACACAAATGATGGGGAGGTGCTCCATGCTACTTTTCCCCTGCTCATATGCTCACTGATTAGCCTTTTTTGCTCACGTATCTTGGGGAGAATTCCTCATACTTATAACTGCTCACAACTGACAGGAGGGCCATTTGGCCTAGCTCAATGTCTGCATGTATCCTGTATGTACACTTAAGCAATGACTCATCCAATATACTCCACAGTTTGCTCACTTACAATACCATATATCCGTTTATAGCTTTGACAGGTGAATAAATAAGGTTTCGCAGGTATATCGTGTTTATTTTTCCCCACATCAAGATTACTCTGTTTGAAGCAGTTCGTGAAGTGATTAGCATTGATCTATTTTAACTAAAAGGTATTTGGCTGCAGGTTTGTTTTTCTAGGTAGTCTCTTTTTCTAAGATTATTAGAATCTTAGAAGTATATATTTATGTAGTTAATTCTTTTTAAAAGACAAATGGATATGACGATAATGATGCATTGGGGATAGGGGGGTGTAAGGTGTGGGCAGGAGGCTGACCTCTGCTGTTTTCTTGCCCGCAGGGTCGGTGTGTCGGTGGGGCGCAGGAGACCCCCCCTCGCTGGAATCGCTCCTGGCAGGGCCTTACACCCCCCCTGGGCCCCCTACTCCTGCTTCTTCCCCTCCACACCAAATTCTACCCCCATCACCCCTCTCTCCTTCTCCCCTTCTCCCTTACCCCATGCACCCTCCACCCCC